AAGTAAACAACAGGGTGACAGTGGCCGCATCTGTAAGTGGCATTGTACGATTACATGTGGTTTGGAATAGACGACTGACTGTCGCTGGGCACATTTATTCTGCCATGTATCTACCATGTAGATGCAGATTGCTGCTTGCAGATGTGGCTGTTGTCACCCTATTACCTTGAATGGGTACAGTGGCTATATATAGTAGGGAAAAAAAAAACAATAGAAAACTCTGTCAACAAAAAATGATCTAAAATTAATTTCGGAATGTCACTGCAATGTCAAAGTACCTCAGCTCTGAATACTGAAAAATGGCCTGGACAGAAGGGGAGGAGGGTTGTTAACACCCCGGTCTTCAAGTTGTCCTTAAAATTTGAGCTACAATTTCAGATTGGTATGATAATCTAACAAAATTAGGCTTCAGAATATTTCAAACTGTAGGGATAAGGACATTGAATAATTATAAAAAAACAAAACCTTTACTATATTATGGGTAATGGCCTAATTTAATTGGCAACATAACGGTGGTTATAACATTTCCCTTATACAGTAACAAGTATTGCATGCTTGAGGAAGTGGAAAAAAAACAGACTTCTTGCTAAAAGTCTCAGTTAAAACATGAAATGTTTGTGGTATTATAAAAGAAAATCCCCTGTACATATATGTGTGTGATTAATGGTAGGAGATGCCAATGATCCCGCCCGCGCTCTTCATTTTTTTGAGTTCACATCCTCTTTATTTGCCCATATGTTTTTTAATCCTATAAAACAGTATATCAGTGCAATTGAAAAAACAAAATGCAATTTGTGAATTGTGAAGAATGTAATTAGGCATTCAAAGAGACTGAAAGAATGCACGTAATTGTTACTTGGAGAAAACCTAATATTTTGAAACATTCATGATCTGCTTCATAAATGTTTGTCATGTACTTAGAAAAATTACATAAATATGCTTTATTTCTTGTTTGGTACAATTGACACCTTGCAGGCCTCACACTGATCTCAATGCTACCCACAGCCGTTCCCTAAATAACATACATTAATATTTTCCAATACTGCCAGTGGCATGCTCCTGAGAGCTTGTGCTCTGGTCCCAGATGACACAAAGTGGCCAAGGACAAATATGTCACTTAGTTATGCAAGTGCCAAATAATGCATTGCACGTGAAAGACACTGAGGAGACACTTGGTGGTTTTAATGAGGGAATTTTTGTCTGTTTCAGAGTAAACTCATATCAAATGTCTTAATAATCCTAAGAAAAGTGATTTTGTACTCAAGTGCATAGAGCCAAATACATGAGAAATATAAAACCATTTCAATTTAAACAGAGACTAAAACATTTTCTCCCCAAATTATAAAACCTGCAGGTAAATCAAAATTACCAGTAATCCTACAACGAAATCTGAATAAATGACATGGATTATGGTGTGGTCATTTGACAACAGTAAATACAAATGATTAAGAAACAAAAATTTTTCTTCAAATTTTTTTTTGCTATTCATTGCAGACTTGCTCTACAAAAACTCCATGTCCTATATAATAGTAAGACTAATCACATCACGTTCCTAAAGAGATTTTAAATAATAATTTAAAAAAAAATGGCAGCCACTCACCAGAAGAATATGAAATCGAAATCCCTGACAATCAACAGACAGAGGAGCTCATGCAGTCTATCTGCCACATACTAAATAACTGCTTCACCATTAAAGGGAAAGTGGAGCATAAGTAGACAAATGTTGTATCCTGGCCTGGCCCCCAGTCAACAAAAGGAGATATTGTTCTTCAGCTCAAGGGAAATATAACTAGTAAAATGGTTGACATCTGTATTCAGAAAACGTTTCCTGGAATGTGACCAATATGCTTGAGTGTACAAAATACAGGATTTTTCTCGCATGCCTAACTTCAGTTTGCCGTCTAAATTATAGACACCCATCAATGAATACTTTAAACTGCAAACTGCCAAGCTGCGATCCGTATACATTTTGTTGGCTAAGATAATGTTTATTTAGCTAAGGAATGGATTCTCATACAGATTAAAATACAATTTCAATAACTGATGCAGCACAATATAAAAGAATCTGCAACAGAAAGATTGTAAAATAGTCTGGATAATACTAGCTTACAGGTTTGGCTGCAAAAGCCATATGCTAGGGTGGAATTAAACTATATTACTCATTCTACTATGACATCACGGATAAGGTCGACACTAGCAAAATTAGCTAGAGAAACTCAACTTTATTTACACACATTCATGTCAACATATATTTGATTTATATTTATATACTGAGGCACAAGTCTACTAGCAAATTGTAAAAACCATACCAATCTGTTACAGATATCAAATCTCTGGGACAGACACATACACAGAAAAAAAAGCTTACAGCCACTAGAACTAAAGCTATTCATATTAGTTACACATATATCCAGGGTTGCGAAAATACCAATTTAAAGAACACACACACACACATTATATATAGGGATGCACAGATATATCGGCCGAAAATGGCACTTTGGCAAAATGCCAAAAGTGCAATTTTTTGGCCGAAATAGCAGTGCATCAGTGATTTCTCTACTGCCCACTGCTCTGTATCCCAGTGGGAAGGAGAGTTAGACCCCGTTCACATGTAGCGACATACCTTTGCAGCGGCCGGGATAGCGCGACTTTCGGGGCGACGATCCAGCGACGGTAGCGCGACCTTCTCCGTCGGGCTCCATAGAAAAAAACAAAATTGCTCAAAATCGTGTGGCAAAATTGCGCGATATCGCGGCGGAAATCGCGCAATACGTCGCTACATGTGAACGGGGCCTAACTGTCACAGGTGGCTAAACAGTGCGGGAGGAGAGCGCTGCACCGCTCAGCCTCCTGTCACAGATCAGGAGAGTGGCGGTGTTGGCGGAGACAGGAGGCTGAGCTCTCCTCCCACTCCGCCCAGCCTCCTGTGACAGTTGTCAGGATGAAGAGTGGGTACAAACACTCAGCGATCAGTGATTAGAAAAAAACCCCCAACATTTTTGGTTTAAATACTATATATATATATATTTAACATGAATTTGAATCAATAATATTGAAAACGAAGGAAAAAACTTTCAGAAAGTTAAACATTAGTTTAGGAGACTCACAATATATATTTAGATTGTAGAGTGATATATAACTTTTTTTTTTTAAGAAACGGGTGACATTAGCGGCTTAAGATCCCACAGTAGACACCTCAAAGCTGTTAGATTGCAAGAGCGTAACAAAATGCCATACACAAAGGACACAAATTGCATTATGTCGCTGTTAGCCATAAACAAGAATGAAACTTTCACTGGTCAGCCAATTTATAACAAGCGTATACTGTATGGGCAGTTATAGCTCAATACACACTTATGTGTGGAGAAATGTACAAACCTACCTCTCTCATTGTTTCTTAAAGGTACCTGGTGTAAGATGGCATATGGATACAAACTCTATAAGATGGCACATGTGGATACATATGAAGTACGAAAGTTACTTCAGTTCTGCTTTAAGTTTGGTTTACGTTTTTGTGCACGTTTTATGCGCATAAATCAAATTGCACGTTGTTAGCAGATTGTTGTTAATTGATGCTAATGAGCAATTGCACATAAAACGCGAGTAAAAATGCGCAAAAACATGCGTTTCCTATTGAGTCTATGGGGCCAAAACGAGCTGAAAAAAAAGCTCATGCACTTTTTCCAGCGACAGTGGGGGGCATATTTGAGCGTTTTTTTAGGGCAGAAAAAGTGATACAAAAACCTCAGTATGAACCAGGCCTAAAGCTCAACTTAAATTTTTGTTTAATTTTTGTTGTGCATTGTCTTAAGCTGGCTATAACTGGCAGAGGGAACTCCCATGATCCCATTAAAATAAAAAAAAATAAAAAAGTTCAGAAAACTAGTTTTTTTTTTAAATCACCCTTCTACTAGTGTATGCCCTGTTCATAGTTTGTTTTCTTTAAATATCAGCCACAGCCCGAGTCTGGCACACTCCCTGCTAAGTCAGAGCCTGAGGTTTGCTGATTGCCGAACTTTAGGTTCGACTCAGAAAGGTGTGTGTTGGACCTCTACAAATAGACTACTGCTTTCCCACAAGGAACAAGGATTCCACTCTGTAGCTGCTGGCAGGGAACAGACTTTTCTATTCAGGCTGTGGCTGCTTAAGAAATACAATGAACTGAAAGACTTTGAATACCTTTTGTTTAGATGCACCTGAAATGCATTTAGCTGAAAAACTAAAAAGGGTCATTTGGGCTTTTAGGGCTAGTTCCCACCAAGCGCGTTCCAGGAGAAGAGCAGAGCACAGTTACAGACCGGATCAAAATTGTATCCAATGTATTCCAATGGTATTTTGGGCTCTAGTTCACACCGCAGCATTCAGTTCCAGAGCAGGTAAAAAAAACTGCAGCAAGTCTTATTTTACGCATGCAAAAGCACTGAAAGTCCATTTTAAAGAAAAATGCCCCTGAACGCGTCAAAAACACACTGCACTGCGTGTGCAGAAACTCATGCAGATCTGGTCTGCATTTGGTGTGAACAAGCCCAAAGTCTTTCAAAGTAAAGTTCAATTTCATCTAACTTTTTAGCAATGATAGGAAAAGATGTTTGTGTTACTTTGTAAAACTACATATGCTCTTCTTCAGAACACTGTTAAGCTAAATGATGTGAAGCAACCCATAGTGATCGGGAAAACAATCAACTTTCACTGGTCAGCTAATAAGATAGCTAAACAAAATCATGTGGCTGTAAGTTTTACTGGCAAACACACAAGAAGCAATGAAACCGGGAAAAGGAAACTAGGAAAACAAAATATTCCTTTCCAAAAACTTCCGAGGCATTCCATTTCACAACTTATATGCTACATCTCTACAAAACGTTTTAAACTTGACAAACAAATGCAACAATTTTGATTTTCAAAATGTTCATCCATATGGATGAAGCAAATGAAACTGGCACACAATCATGATTAAGCAGCTAGGTTGAAGGAGCAGATTATCAAACAAATATAAAACTTACATCTAGTAGTGTGTGCAAGTGCTGATCCTGGAAAACACTGTGCAGGAAATCGAGATCTTTCTCACTGCAGTCTGTGAGCGCATGGATCTCCTCCAGGCTGTCCAGTACTTGTGACACCGCTCCTATAAGCAAACAAGGGAAAAAAAAAAAAAGGTAGGAAGCAAAGCTTTATGGCAAAATGACCTTTGTACAATAAAAAACAATTCACTAGCGTGATTAATGAGAGCATTTACCTGAAAAGGTAATGTCACATTCACAGACATTTAACAAAAGAATAGCAGTAAAAGTTAACAAAGAAGAAAAAAAAAAAAAGTTATGTGAAAACAGGAATTTTTTTAAAACTAATTCATAAGAAGCTATTCAGGATGATATGCAAAATTAATGAAACAGATTCAAAAGCCAAACTGGCATTAAACCTTTTCTATTTTTAAATTACAGAATCAAGTTTCACGAACACACATACAGGCACAAGGGGCCGGAACTGTAAAGCTGTGATATGGTATATAGCCTGCTAGAGTTGCCATATCAAGCAATATTTTTGTGACAATTCACTTGCTTCATTAAAGAAGGAACAAGGTCATATGTTTTTAAAGGTATGCATTGTTTCCCACTGCAATTCTAACACTGGATTCAGTAAGCTAACATTGCTGATCTGCAAAAATGCTTGCTGTCTGGCTGTCTAATTTGTCAATACTTTCCAAATCACTAATTTTGAAAAAAAAAAAAATGCAGGCATCGAGGTCAGAAATCTGCATACTTGTCCCAAAGTATTGAAGACCTGGATCATCATGACAGGCAGGAATCTAGTGTTTCCAGAAGAAAGGGTCAGAATTGAAGTTGCCTTAACATTGCATTTAAAAGCTAAATATCATATAATCTGATTCCATGGCCGAAGCACTGTCAGACTATATGATAATTAGCTGTTAGATGCAATGCTAGAGTTAAGACAACTTCAATTCTGACCCTTTCTTCTGAAAATGCTAGATTCCTGTCTGGCATGATGATCCAGGTCTTCAATACTTTGGGACAAGTATGCAGATTTCTGACCTCGATGGCTGCATTTTTTTTGTTTTCTCTAAGTTAGTGATTTGTAAAGTAGACAAATTAGACAGCCAGATAGCTAACATTTTTGCAGATCAGCAATGCACTGTTTGTGGTGTGAACCGGCCCTTAATGCTGACACTGTTCTTCCTTCTGGAGGGTGGCTAGTTTTGTTCCAAGGTTCCTGTGTGTGTTGTAAAGAAGCCACCACTCCAAGCTCTCTCCCGTGATGGACTACAATCTCAAAACAAATTAGTAAACTAAACGAGAGATTGACACGAGATGAACCAATTGCCCAAACATATCTATCTATCTATCTATCTATCTAGTACAGAGTTCTTACAGTTCAGAGATAATTTGAAGATCTACAGCTGAGTGATACCCAAATAAGATACATTTTTGTGAATAGTTGAAGCATTTGAATACATTTTTAAGGTTTAACTCCTGAATTTAGAGTCACTTTGAAGCCACTTTGAAGGGAAAAAATAAATTTTACACACCAAGCTGCATGTTATTTGTGGAGTGTTGCTGCAAAGTGTTACAATATCTTACATTGCAGCGTGCTCTCTCCAACACACAACTCTAGGCACCGGGGCTCTGCAGGGAGCGAGGCATGCAACTGGAGACGGGAAGTGCTTCAGTTGCATCCCTGCCTCCTACATTGCCACTCAAAAAAAGCCTTGCATTTTTTCCTCAAAGAAAAGGACAAGGCATTTTGGGAAAGGGTACATTTGAACCAATAGATGTAAATGCCTTGCAATTGTACTTAAAAATGCATCAAAGTGCATGGCAATGCACTTATGAATGAGTCTTAGAGAACTATGAGGCGAGTGCTTTTCACTCACCTCGTAGTTCTAGCCGACCTGTGACAATGAGACTGTCACAGGTCGGCTCAGTAGATCGGGAAGTGAGCCAACACATACCGGCGTTCGCTCACTTCTCGATCTCGTTACGGCAGAGAGCCGTGACAGGGGAGGCACTGGATTTCTCCCCGCTCCGATTCTCCAGCGCTGACTGGCAGAATGGATGGGGGAGGGGGCGGGTACAGCTGGCTCTGCCTCTAGATAGGCAGAGCCAGCTGTCACTCACGCAGCTGGGCAGATCCACACATAATTGTCAGGATCCGTTTCAGCTGCGGCGTCTCAGTATACTGAGCGGTATACTGAGCTTAGGGTGACGTGAGGACGCTAGTTTGTGTCCTCCCATTACCCTTAGGAGAACTATGGGGAAAAGCCCTAACCCCATAGTTCTCCTTTAAGATGGCACTCTGTGACCAATAGTGTGATTAACGGCCAGTCTGGACTTTAAGCAATCTTTTTGCTGATCGCCATCATATATACCCTGGCTGTACAATTTACTATCACGTTAGCACGTTATACATTCAAGAAACAGTCAGGAAAAGCATAGCAAGCAGCACAAGAGGAAAAAAGGAATACCTACTTTCTGCAGCTAGAAGTCCTAGTAAGGCAGCATTAAGGCAGACAAAATACAGAATTTCAGAAATGGCATGTTAGTTGCAAGCGTTGGCAAAGCAATTCACGGGGAGTACACAAACATTCACCACAATATGAAAACTGGCGTCTCAAACAGCATATAGCATTTCATTTGGCTAATAGAGGTACAGTACTTTCAATATGCCCACAAAATAATTGGTGCAGAAATAAGTGATATACGGAATATACTGCAGAAAACATTTCAGGCTATAACTGATATTGTAAGAGAATGTAATTTCTGCTTATGACTCACTAAATGCAAAAGATATGCGGTGTTAACACAATAAACCTACTGCTAGATAAAAGAATTACCAGACTGTAAAATTCCTAGAAAAATATTACTGCATGTAACAATATAAGAAGAATCTAATAATGCCCCTGTCACTCTGCTGTCATGAGATGCATATTTCCAGACAGAAGCGTGTCTGATTTTTTTTTTCTCAATATTTATTTAATACATTTACAAAATCAGCTTCATATTGAATGGGGTTAGCTACAGCTTAAACAAATTATTAACCCTGTTAAGTCAGAAACAGCGTCATTTGACAAATCGGATTATTTACAGTGGACATCACAAAGAAAAATGTAGATGTGCAAAGTGCAGTAACCAGTTATTTGTAGTCAGATTAGAAAAACTGGTTGCCATGGGTTAAAGCCCTTTGCATATTATAAGTTACATTGCCTTATCGATGTGCATGAGAATGGTCACATGCGCAAGAAGGTTTGCTATTAGGCACAACTTATTACCCAGAAGTGTTCCATCTCATCATCATCATTTAGAAACAGAACTGCTAAGAAAGCTGTCTAGACCAGTGCTGTAAGCAGTCAGGTTTACACAGGCAACAAACAGTATATGTAAAACCTGACCAAGTTTATATCAATGCCACTGACAACATTTCTGATTTTTTTTTTTTTAAAGTTATAACAACTGGAAATATATCATTTATTTTGCCCTTGGTATGCTTTGCACAGTCCCTGCTTACTAACAGTTTAGCAACAAGCAAAATATAAACAACTCTTTTCCGTTCTGGATTGTGGAACTTCTGTTATCATAAGCCTCTATCTATAGCAATACCCAAGAACTAACCACTTCCTCTCTAAAATTACTGAAATTACTGCAGGAAACCAATGTATTAAATTTAACTGGAACATTATATCAGCAAATTGTTAAAAAAAAACAAATCCCTAAAAAAAAAAAAAAGAAGGCACCAGTACCTGTAATATACACTATCCCCCTCTCCGCTGTGTTGTCAGACCCCTTAGATGTTTCATAGATGCTAGCTTCGTGAAAGTCAGTATTTAAAATAGGCCCTCCACCTAATGTTGCTAACTGTTTCTCTGGACCCTAGGAGAGAGGGGGGTGGGAATTAGTACACCGAGAGGCGCTTGTTATCTAGGAAGTACCTTAGTTTTAGAAATGTTGATAGTTTTAACCTACCCTCAGACATCATTTTGATTTCCTTGGTTTCATTTTCCCAGCCTAATGCTTTTGTTGCTGGACCTTGAGGTGCATCCCTGGGGAGGAAGGTGTTATTGGTTCAACAGT